TGTTCTGGATAAGTATACAATCTGTTTTTGTAATTTTGGGCAGTTTATCTGTAAATTAAACACACCATGGATGCAGAGACACTGCACAGAAATGGTGCCAGCCTCGGTAGTAGCAGAAGTGTGCTGACAGGATGGCTTTTGGTTGGTATTTCAGACCTTTCCTCAGGAGCACACTCACTTCCACAATTAAAGCTACTAAATTCTTATTTCCACTTGGGACGCAAACTTGACCAGAGCTTTTGTTTTCCTTTCTATCTGGAAGAACCAGAATGTGGATAGTTTTATGATGCACCTGGATTTTTTCAGTCACTTTGGTTCTTCTTTCTTCTGTCTGCTAGTGTTTTCTAAAATATTCTCTGGTGACTCTTTTACTCTAGCTCAAATATTCTTCTGTCTCTGCATCCACTGCCATGAGCACACTGTTCTCCTTTTATGAAGATGCCATTCATCCTTCTTCCCCAGGAGGCCCTACAGGATGTTTCTGTTCTCAGTGTGCAGTGATCCTTCACGTATTTAGTAAATCTCCCTCAGCTGGGACATCTGTTTCGTGGTGATAGAAGAGGCAAAATGCCCTGTTTGGGGATCACCTCTGCTTACAGCACACTCTGCTCCTCTGAAATTAATTTCTAAACCAGAGCAATGCTATTGAAGGATTAATGTAAGATTAGAGTATTTATATTAAAATACCTTATAATGTGGAAGAAATACATGTTCTTAGGTTATAACTAGAAGCTCATTTTATCTGTTCTTTTAATTAAAGGTTTTCTTTGCCTAATGCTAATGAAGAGATTGGATTTCATGCAAATAGGACTCGAGCCTTAGGAATTACCAAGTACTTCATAATTCCAGTGTAAACAGTAGTGTGCAGCCCATGCTTCACACTGGTGCTTGTTTGAGCCCTTGCATGGATCATCAGGCCCTTGCCGTGACCATCCCTTGTCCAAAAAATCAACTATCCCATAGTGACAACTTCAATAATCCATTAGTTTCAGTACATCATGCTCAAAAGGAGATTGCTTAATCTGGGGAAGCTGCATAAAGTTTCCTTTCAGGAGGAGCTAACACTGCAAATAGTGGGCTGGTGTTCGAAGTGAAATCTAGACTGTTATTATGTCCATGTGTTCATAGAGACAGTCACAAAACACACTGGCAAACACACACTTGTGCATCTACTATCATTCTTCTATCATTGACAAACACAAGTTATGGCCAGATTTCAGTGTGAATTTTTACACACACACATGCTGATATAGATATGATATACCTGATATAAATATTGATTACATAAATATATTATATAGATATAACTTGTATGGCTTTGAATTAATTTGGAATATTTTCTGTAAAATATCTTCTCCCTGACACGCCAGCATATTCTTTTTGGCTAGCCTTTAAGCACTGAGGGCGTCTGTGGCAGTAATCGATTATGGGAGTCTATACAAATGAAGCCAAGAACTCTCTGATGAGTTTGCTTTGACAAACAGGGTAAGAGAAGTCATTATTTAATTCTTTGCTCAGTATTTCCCATGGTGGGTAGCCATGGAGCTCAACATAGCCTTAACTGTGAGCATGGGTGATGCAAGAGGGTCATTTACACCAATGAGAACAAGTGCACATCTGTATTCAGAGTGGCTCCTGCATATTCACTATTTAGCTAACTTTATGCTGCTTTACTGAACAGTGAAGAAAGGTCATATCCTGTTTCATATTTTTAACCTGCTTCTTGTCTTTATTATGAGCCGACTCCTTGGCTATTCCCAGTGTGATTGAGTGCTTGTATATGAGGCAGTGAGGGCTCCAAAATGCTTCTATATTTATTCCATAAATGTCAAAATTTGAAAGCAATTTGAAAACAATTTCCTAAGATAATTTTATAATTTATATAATTTTCCAACTGAAATAAATGTTCATGGCCTTCATGTGTTTATTTGTATCATTATTCTAGAGACATGACACCCTTTTCCCTGAAAGAAAACTTTGTGCTCAACTTCAGTGCAGCATCCCCCCAGTCCAGGAGTAGCATGTAATAGTGTCATCTGGACAGTGTCCAGGATTAGGTGGAAGAAATCTTAAGGTCTTCCAACCTCAGACTGATTAAAAAAGTGACAGGGTGTCATAGCTAGAAGGTTAATCAGAAGGTTGTAAACTGTGAATGTGGCATAAGTTATCAGCCCTTCAGAAACTAAATGTGTGTCAAGCTGCTGTTAAAGGTTGTCTGCCAGGTGAAGAAGCCATTCAGTGGATAACACAAGAAGGCAACTCTCTGGAAGCTGCAGAAACCAGCAGCAGATTTATCTGGGCAGTGAAAGCAGCTGCAGAAGTCAGGTAGTCACAAGGAGGAGCAGCAGCAGGCTGGCAAAGTTTCTGGCCCAGTATGCAGAAGGGAAGCTGCAGATGTTATACAAAGATGTGCTTTTCTTATTTCCATGCATTTGCTTTGTACTCCTGTTTATTGCACATCAAACACATTTACATATCCAGGGATGAAATGGAAATGATTGATGCAAAGGAGATATTTTTGTTAATTGTTGTTGCTCTCAGTCATACCTGACTGGGACTGCAGGAGATGGATGAGGAAAGACACAACTATTATTAGAAGTATAAATAACTGTCAAGAGCAACTGTAAAATCTGTCTGTTACCACATATTAACATCCAAAATTACCTGAAGAGAGGAGCTGCAGCAATACAAGGACTAAGCCAATGTCTCGTCTTTGTTGATGCAGAGGTTTCCTACTGCCTCTGAGTCTTTGCCCATTTTTTTTCATCCCTGCTCCCTTGGAGTTTCAGCCATTTTTGGTCACAACCCCATCAATGCCTGCTGGATGTTGCAACAACAGCTTCTTATGCTCAGAGTTGATGGGTATTTGAGAGTTGGGCTGTTTTATCTGCACATCACTTGTGAAATGCGTCCACTTTTTTCCCTGTAAAATGGAAACTAGTCCTTAATGTGCTCTCATACATGCAGTGTAGAGCCAAGATGAGATGAGCATCCAGTCTGAGAAGAGAAAGCTCTTCCTGAAGTGCCCAAAGACTGCTTTTTCATAGTGGAACTATCCTGCAAAACACACAGAAGGATTTCTGGTACTTTCTGCCCTGCAGGAGAAGAGGAGTTTAAGAAATATCTGTCTATAAAGGGTTATGTGATTCTTGGGTTCCCTGTTGATGTGAGCTGTGTAAGTAACTGAAGTGGACCAAAAGAGTTGACATGCAGTTTGGCCATTTGTGAGCAGTAGTCAGAAGACCCAAGCTCCGAATGATTCTGGAAATATCATCCTTCAAAGTATCATCTGATACCGACAGAAATCTTGGCTTCCAGTGCAAGTGATAGTGAAAATACATCCATGACACTCCCTAGTTTAAATCCTTCCACCTGTAAAGCTTCTGCTGTGAAATAAGTCTTGAAACAGCTGTTTCCATTAGATAGTAGCCCAGGAAATTACCCTGCAGCAGAACATAGTCTATAGTTTGGTCTTGTAACCTTATTCTGGAAAATATATTATAGGTCCTGTAGGTGGAAAATTCAGAATGAATAAGAATGAAGAATTCAGACCCGTTTCCCTTAGTTTTTTCTGCACTGGAAGATAAATCTGCATATTTAGCAGTATGTGGGCAAATAAATATTTTTATGGTCAACCTAAAGTTCATGGAGATGGTGAATCTTTAGTGGCAGGAATTGGGTGATACCTGAAAAAGCAAAGTAATTGTCTTGGAGGTTGTTACAAATTTTGAGTTTTTTCATTTTACTGGAGTTAACTCTTGTATGAGATGACACTCCCAAAACGTTGGTTTGTTCACAGGGTAGCTTGTCTTCAGCAAGCTTGCTTCCTGCTTACTCTCTTCATCATTCTCCAGGCTGAAGAAAAAGCTCTGAGATCAGATTTTTCTTAAGAAATCTTATGGCTCATGATTTATTAATGTGTAGTTTGCAGTAAGATGAGTCATGCAAACTCATGAGCCTATTTTTGTACCAGATCATGTGTTAATTTTAGTGATGAATCTTCTTCTGGTTATTCTAGCTGAGAGAAATCATAAGTATTTCAGTTTTGCTTTGTGTTTATGATATCACCTTATAATTCAGGTGAGTTATTATTGAGTAAAACATCCCTCAGTAAAGAAAACCTCAATCTGTGAAAGCCTCCTTGATGCATATTTAATTGCAGTCTCTTTCAGATTGCCATAAATAAGACATACAAACTGAATTTCATAGCAAAAAGATGAACTGACAATGTGAGTTCTGTAGTTATTTTCTCTATTTCAAATCAATATATCTCAGTGCCTCTTTTGTATTCCTGACAGGTGAGGTTGAATAATAATAATAATCTTTACACCAACAAATGCTTTTGTACTACATGATTATAACAGATTTCAATCAGGCACTTGTCTAAAATTAAGTCATATGAATGGATTTTTTGTCTCTTATTATCTTCACTCCAACCCACTTAATGATAGGGTTTTTCTTAAGTAGGGAGCTCATGCCAGTCTTCCACATGGTATTATTTTTATCACTTGCACTGTCCACATGGAATTGCTTATGCTTTTTTTAGGTTGTGCCCAAGTGCTGTAGGGATTATCATCCTGTGCATCTTGTGAGACTTGCATGTCTCAGTCCAGAAGAGAAGTGGCAGGATTATTTCAATCACTTTTCATACAGCTTCTGATATTGCTGGTAGTTAATACTTCAATGTGGAGGGGAGCACACTTCAGTTAATTGGTTTCTATATAAAGCAGCTATCACTGAGCACTTGATAGGTCAAAGTAATTCTGTTTCTCTGATAACTGCTTATTTCCTTTCATATCTCTCTCTCTCTCCCAATTTACCTTGTATTTTATTCATCGTATTTATGAAGATTTTACTGTCTCAGGAAGAGTCACATGAAGTGCCTACATTGCACTGGAAAAAGTGAAGGGTGTGGTGCCAGTGTTGGGTAATAGTTTTATTGGAGAATAGATAGGAAAATCTACTGAAATCCTAAAACTATGTTTAATTATATGTTTCAGGAATTTCTATTACATCACCATGCTGAGGGATCCGGTGTCACGGTACTTGAGTGAATGGAAACACGTCCAGAGGGGCGCGACGTGGAAAACTTCCCTTCATATGTGCGACGGAAGAAGCCCAACACCAGACGAGCTGCCGACCTGCTATGAAGGAGACGACTGGTCTGGAGTCAGCTTACAGGAATTCATGGATTGCAGCTACAACTTGGCCAGCAACCGCCAGGTGCGCATGCTGGCAGACCTCAGCCTGGTGGGGTGCTACAACCTGACTTTCATGAACGAGAGTGAGAGAAACATGATCCTTCTCCAAAGCGCCAAGAACAATCTGAAAAACATGGCCTTCTTCGGGCTGACGGAATTTCAGAGGAAAACACAGTATCTCTTTGAGAGGACATTCAACCTGAAATTCATTTCCCCATTCACCCAGTTCAATGTTACACGGGCCTCCAATGTGGACATTGGCGAGGATGTGCGGCAAAGGATAGAGGAGCTGAATTTCTTGGACGTGCAGCTGTATGAATACGCAAAGGACCTGTTCCTGCAGCGCTTCCAGTACTCCAAGCAAGAGGAGCATCAGAAGAACCGGCTAAAGAGGCGAGAGGAGCGGCGACTGCTGCGGGAGCAGAGAGCTCACCAGTGGCCAAGGGAAGGGGCAGCAGAAGTAGCTGTTACTGAAGATTATAATAGTCAGGTTGCAAGGTGGTGATGCTCCTCCATCTTGCCTAACCAATGAGAGGATCAGATTGTTTGTGCAATGTGGCTACCTGGGAATTAGCCAAGGGAGACCTACTGCTTTGGTAAATGAGACCTCGTCTGACAACTCCCCCTCCTTGTCTCAGTTTTTCTTGGTTTCTGCCAGTGAGAATGTATTTTTTTCTCAATAGGTATTGATTAGTGTTATTAAATGGCAGTAGAACAAGATTCCTGTCAGAAAAGACTTCCTTCAAAGGCTTAAGCTATGAGGATGGGTTGAAGAGAGAGAGCGATTCTTTGCATTAACAGATGTATCCTGTACAATCTGAGCTACTAAAACTTGTGCAGACATGAATGATAAATTGGGGAAAAATACCTGGCTTGGCTCCTTTGTGACATGAGAGTTGGTTTATTTCATATTGTTCATTGCAACTGTAGTGCATAACTTTCTAGTGAATGAAGTGGAGGAGGGGTACACATTGCCTTTCAAGCCTCTACATGCTGTTTTGATTAAGAGAAGAATTTTATGAGGTGGTTAAAAAAGACACAGGAAGTGTTGGATAGGGGCACTTCTTGCTCTGTTCCAAAGGCCAGCAGTCAGACATTGATTATAGGTGAGGTGGTGAAGGGGTTGGCTTATTTCCCTGCAGGTGCTGAGAGTACCAAGCCCAGCCAGGTAGGAACCATCTTTCTGAGTGTGTGTGGCAAAGGCAAGCTTTGAGAAATGAGGTCCATGTGGCAGCTGAGCACACATCACAGAGATTATCTCGCTGGGGGCAATGAAATCTGCCTTCACATTCATGAAAGGGGTCAAGCAAACTCCAGGGAAGAGAAAAGAGAGAGAAGGAAAAGCTTAAATATTAGTGCGACATTTTCCGGATTTGCTGTAAAAGCCTGGAGATACATTGTCTGTGAAGGTAGGCAGGTTTATTATATTGCCTGTTAAAATACATTGATGCTAAGTGCATACAGTTTAAATTGGTTTTCTCTCTAACTACAGTAGTGGCTAGAAAAAAAATCAGCTTTCATTTTTATTGGCTACATAATGGATATGTGGAAAGTCTTGATATTTATTACTCTATATGAGGGTTCTTTGTAAATTTATTGTTTTCATGATGAGAGAACTGTATCTGTTTTTCTTCCTTGTCTAGAAAAAAATTTAAAGGGTTCTTCCTCCATGTGTTCCATTCTTGTGGCTAAACTGCATCTGTTTATTCCAAGATTTTATGTTGTACCATTCGTAGTAGTGAAATTTTAAAAAGAGGGTCCTGTGCACCATAGATATTCTGAGAGAGTTTTTTTCCTTCTTCTTCTGGCATAAATGTAAAGCATTAGGAGGAAATTTCTCTAAGTGCCTCAACGTGGCTGCTAAATCAAGATGCTGAAAGTATATTATTGCATGCATGAATGGCTTTTACCTTACAGATTTGCTAATTAGAAGTACTGGAGCACCTGATGTGGATGCACATTTCTCGCTTGTTTTCAAAATTCAAAGTTTCTATCCAGTTGGTTGAAAAAATAATGTGTTACAGAAAAAAGAGGCTCAATTTGAAAATTTGTCCCTTCAATTCAAAGTTGGATTTCTTTTTGGTGCATGCTGTATCTTCTTTTCTTCTGACAATGCTATTGCTACTTATCTATGCAGAATATCAAAAATACAATCTAATGATCCTGTTGAGAGTTAATGCATTCAATAAAACACTGAACATGAAATACCATAATAGCATTAAGAAGTGAAGAGGGCTACTAGGATGATGCCTCATTATCAAAGTAGTTCATTAACAATATGCTGCTTTACGTCTGATTGTCAATGTGTTACTTTGGGGTGAGTAGTGGTGGGTTTTGGTCCCTAATACCTTTTCCACTTGTGGTTCATGTACATCTTCTCCCAGCTCCGCATTCAGAAGGGAAAAGGAAGATTGTTATTCTCCTGTCTGAGCATGGGATGTCTGCCTTAGGGAAGAGTGAGGAGCTCTCTGGACTCCTGAGTGGTGCTGTTTGGATCCCATCGCATGGAAGAAGCACTCAGACACCTTGTTCACGTATGGACACCTTCCAACCTTCCAAGACTTAAATTGAAATCTTTACAGCTGAGGACTGAAGTTCTCTCTGGGTGTCCTGGCTGCAGGACAGTGAGGCCATGAAGATCTAAGGCTCACTGGCAGTATTGTACCTTTAGCACAGTGCAGGTAATTCACAGTGATCTGACATCCTAGCTGCTGGCACCAGGGCTTTAGGCTGGGCTGGCCCTGGCCTTGTGGAGGGAAGGAGCTTTCTGGTGGGTGACACAGGGATGATGGGAACTGTTGCATCTCCCCATTCCTGTGCACATTGCCACATCTTGCTGGAGACCATACAGCACAAAAGGGGAAGGATGCTTTTGGCACCTGATGCTCAGTGTCCAGGATTTGCAGGTGCTCTAGTTGTTTCCATGTGCACAGGGAGCTCAGGGTGCTGGGGAGACCCTGAGGGGCAGGGGAGAAGCCAGCCATGTGGAAGGAAAGATGCAAGGCCAAATTCACATTAAGGGGCAAGGTAAGCAAGGAAGTAAGATAAATTCCAACTCTTCTTTTGTTCTGTAGGGCATCCTTTCCTCTTCCTCCTAAGTGCAAAAAAAACCTTGTCCCTTCCTCACATACCCCTTTGCTCAGCTGGCCACCTCTCCTTGCTGCTCACAGCAACTGGGGCTACATTTTTCATCTAGAAAATGCAGTGTTTTCTTTTCGAGGGAGAGGAGACAGTGCTGAGAAATACTTCCCTGGAGCCTCACCAGTGACTGTAAGTATCAGTTTCAGCTGTCTAAGCACACCAACTGCTCTCCAGACTGTTCCTTCTGCCTCATACAAAACAAAGCCTAATGAGGAAAATCGAAGCCGTTTTTAGGTGGTTTACATTAGCTTGAATAGTTTGGCAACATCTTAATATGATGCCTAACCTTTTTCATCAGTCATTTCCCAGGAGTCAAGATTAGGTTCCTGAAGAGCTGTTAATGTGCTGTGGCATCTATGTTAATGGGATTTGCCTTAACGCTTGGGATTTAGTTAAAAATGAAGTTGGTTTGTTGGATTTTGTTTTTTCCTCCGGAGCCTGTGTAACAGCCCTGGTTATGCAGGAGTAGTTTTGCTGCTTTTGTTGTTTTGGGGTTTTTTTGGGAGGGCTGGGCAGTTAGCAGCTAAGACCTTGCCCAGAGCCCTGTGACTGAAGGACCTGGCACCTCCTTCCCTAGCTCCAGCTGCAGATCCAGCAAACTCACTGTACCAACAATCCTGGTTTTCTTAGCAGAATTTCCTTACACATGACAAATAAAGCAGTTTGGAAACACCTTCAGGCTACTTCTAAGACACAGACCTGCAGCTTTTTTCCTCTTGGGCACTGTGCCTGAAATAATGTAATGCAAAAGCAAAATAAAGGTCCTGCTTCATATCTCTATTATTATTCCAGGTTTTCATTGCTCTGACAGCATAAACTTCACCAAAATTTCATTGGCCCATAAAAGATCAGGGAGAAGCGTGTTTCTTTCTAAAGCTTCACGAGCAACAATGCTGTAAGATTTCTGTCCATCTTCCTGGCATTATTTTGTTGCTTAAACAAGGCAATTTGGCTTCTGCTACTGTGGTGCTGAAACAAATCTCATTCTTTTGTGATGGAGATGTACTTGGTAATCTCTCCCATCACATTCCCAGCACTGCCTTTTCCGTAGGCTTGGAGTGGACAGAGAAACATGCGGTGTCATTAGAACGTGTTCCTGATAATTTGATGTCTAGTCCAAGCACTCACCTTATGGCCTTATGGCCTTATTAAGGAATGAAAATTCATCCTCTCTTCCCCACTCATCAGTGCTGAGAGTAAAATCCTTTTTCACCACCAAGAAAGAAAAAACCTGCTGTTTCTGATGGTATTTTATTGGGTATTTTCCACTGCTGTTGTGTTAATAGTGAGGCTGTCATAGCCTTGCTAGAGATTCTACCCAATATGCAACAGTTACTTGCTGTTCACTAAAAACAGAAATATAGAACAAAAAAGTGGTGGAAATCAGATCCAGAGGCACACTTATAACTGCATCATACCCATTAAACCAAATGGCAGGTCACATCACCTTTCTCTCTGGAGATGTTTCGGATTTGACATCCATGACTAAATCAGGAAGTTTCTTAAGCTGGTCTTCTTTTAGCACATGCTTCCTTCTGCCCTAGTGGGATCTTGTTTCCCACCTGCACTCTTGTATCAGTTATGAGCACTTTTGTTTTAAAACATATCTCACCTTTTTTTCCCTCTGTTGCTGTTCCCCTGATACATATGGAATTAATTATTATTCTTTTTTTTTTTTTTTTCCCTGGAATAAGGATTATCTTGTTTCCAGACTGGTGGGGAATACTATGTACAAGATGAACAATCACAATAAAGTCATTCAGCTAGAGTTGATGGCTGTATCCTCCCTATGTGCAGGGAAAAAAAAGAAAACTAAAACACACACTCATACAAGTTTTCACTGTAACACTTCTTTCATTTGGTTCCTGTAATACTTTCCTTGTCTACATTTTGTGGAGGGAAATGGATTCCATAGCCTGCACTGTCCTTGACTTTCTTCTTGGCCATATCACTAGCTCTATGATTTAAAATAAATGTTGGAAGAGAAGAAAAAAATAAAGAATTTCCATCAGTTGCCATATTTAAGATGAAAGAATAAATTAATAGGCTGTAAATTATTTTCTTCTTTAGGAATTTTCCTTCAATTTATGTGCAATAATGTTTGTGAATTCTGCTACTGAGAGGTTGTATTGTGATTAATCATATATACTTCCATTCCTATTTAAAAGATAGTTTGTAGACCTAGGGATTTTCATTGACGTAAAGCACAATTTAATGAATTATTTAATGTGTTTAACCATTGTGATGTCAAAAGCAATTGTTTTCATATATTTATTTGTTGGTGATTTTCTGTAAAATGATGCTCATTAAGAGATCTGTTAAAAATGAAGTTTTGTTGAATATTGTTGGGTCCATGAATTACTT